TTAGTAACCACGACCATAGTATATACATACATACATACAGTAATGTAAATAGTTCATTATTTTAATTGCTATTCATTACAACTAAAAGTAATCAGGTTCAACTAACAATTCATTCTATTAGTTCGTCTTTATTTGAACTAAAATAATCTAGAAGTAGTCTTGATTTTTCTATTAACAGAAATAAAAAATTATAATTTCATAATTACTCAATTACCTTTCGATTATCGAGCCTATAATGAAAGGAAATAAGTCAGCCAACAAATACTAATTAGAGCTGTTAAATTTATATTATGATTTGTAATCCAAACGATTACTTGATTAACAGTAATCATAATGACTATTATTAGCAATAGCAAAACAATTAGTAATTATTAAATTACTTTTTCGATAACTAGGCCTAAAAATAATAAAAAGGAATTAATCAGTAATGATAAGTTTATATTATGATTAGTAATCCAAACAATTGCTATGTTGCCGTAATAAATAATTAGTAATTCATTTTTTCAATAAAAAAAAGTAATAAAAACATTTAATACATATTCGATTACTTTTTTGATTACTTCGCCTCCACGGAGTGCAAATAAGTTAGTTTAGAAATTTATAGAAATCTGAGCTTTTAAACATAGATAAAGATTATTAATCCGAGCAAATATTCATTACAATAATTATAATAATTAGTAAAAATAGTTAAAAACATTCCTAATTTTTTTTTTCAATAGCAAATAAAATTTATATTAATTCAATTACTTTTTTTGCTTACTAAGCTTAAAAGTATAAGAAACGTTTAGGTAATGAAAAGTAAAAAAAAAAAAAAATTTATTTACTAAATCTAAATTGAATGAAGATAAATGAGCCTTCAATTATTAATCTGAGCTTTTAAATTTAGACTATGATTAGAAATCTAAACGATTACTTGATTACAGTATTGATATTTATTAATTAAATTTGGTTTCAGAGTCGAAAAATTAATAATAAAATTTAATAAGGATTAATCTCAAAATATTTAATATTATTTCCCATCATAAAAATTAATAAAAAACAACTTATGTAATTATACTTCAATTAACTTTTCCCTTATTAGCGCTGTCTTTGAAGAAATATTTGTTAATCTGTTCCAAAGAAAACGAGAACCATATATCTATGATATAACAATTATTTAACATTACTACAAATAACCGTTATGTGAACAACAATATTGTGCTCTTTACAATCCATTATGAGAAATGCATAAATAATATTAATAGCAAAACAACGACGTTTAATTCAAAGTTAAAAGACAATTCCAACACTTACAGTGATTTGCAGCTGCGCCAACTTTCGTTTGCACAAGCCAAGTATTTGCGCTGCGCTGAAAGCAGTCTCAGATCGCGCAGCTCAATGACAAAGGTATGACGTTGCGTATGATGAACTAAGGCACATGCGAGTAGAAACAATTAGCATACCGCGATGCGACTACAACAACACTTTCCAACAATCACAAGTACAACACAAGTGCTGTACGCGACAATTTGCATAATTAATATAAGAAATTCACACACATACACACAAATGTAAACACACAGTTGTTGTTGTGTGCAAGCAAGCAATTCGCCAGCGACATAGAGCTGTTTAAAATAGAAATATGAGCAGAAAGATCACACAATCAAACGAGACATGCAAACACATAACGAGTATTGAGAAATAAAGCTTATTTTAGCTTTTATGCGCTGCTGTTGTTGTTTATATCATTTTTATGTGTGTTTGCCGATATTTATTTATATGCATTTATGTCATAAAATGGTGATAATAACAACAATGTAATGTTGGTGATTGCATTTTAATCGCAGCAAATCATGCGGCACGGTGACGAGCCATTAATTATACAATAAAACTCATTAAGCAAATAGTTGGAGAAAATTACGACTAACAAATAGTAATAATTATTAAATAACACAAACATACAAACAACTGAAAGAGAAATATGCGAGGTTAGATGTGAGCTATTTGGGGAGGTTATACATACATTTTCAATAGAATTGAGGGTTTTGTAGTACCCTCTTATAAAGAATCAAAAGTAGTGCTAAATAATTTTGATCTTCCGAAACCCCGCGGTGACCATATTGGAACTGAACATTTCACAATTAAATCTTTAAATCGAAAATTTTTAAATTTCCCAAGAACGATTGATACAAAACCTTTCAAGCGAATGCCAATCAATCATTTTCTCTATTTTTATAGATGGCTGCAAAAATGTTCTATTTACTAAGTTTTAAGTAAATACATTTTGAGCATTAATAACCATGCGCATTTAGCTTTTTCTGAGAAAATTGCTTCTCAATCAAGTTCAATCAAATTTGCCCGCAAAAGTTTTTCATCAAAGATATTTCTACTAAATTTTTTTTCACAAATCAAAACCGATTATCTATATTTAATAAAGTTCTTACTAACTTACCATCAAGCAATTACCTCAAGCAACACATTGAATCAATTTTTTCCCAGTTTTAATTTTAAATTATAATGCATGTCCACTTTAATGGCGAAACGCCGGAAAATCATTTTCTGCTGTGCTTCAATTATAAATCTTCCACCAAAAACATCATCAATCAAGCAATCAATCAAAACTTACTACAAAATATTAACTACCCAATGCTATTAGGCACTCATCAGCACCTACGCCAGCGCAACGAGCAGTCTAAAGTTAATGAACGGGCTTCCGTTACTTTTTTGCAAGCGTTTTTATACGCCTGATATCGTCAAGCATGCATCGCCAACACCTATAAATATATAGCGTATTTATGTAAAAACGCGTGCGCGCTTGACTTTGACTTTGGCCCACGACTGAGCGACGATTTTATCATACACGTACACAATAATATATTTATGTGTAAGACAATTAAGTATTTGCATTCAAGCATTCCTAGTTTTTGCGCGCTGTAAAAATTACGGGAAACATTTAAACGGTATTTGAAAAAACAGTAAAACAAAAAATTATCTTTGCAAAAAAGTCACGTTTAATTAAATTGCTGATGCGTTGAACGTCAGCGATCATTCCTGTTCATTGCTTGCCGCTGGCCAGTAGCTGTCCTTCAATCATAGATTTCCGTAATGGGTTAAAGAAAAAAGCCGCGCAGCTACTTTATTTTGCTTACGTTAATGCATTTTGCTGTTTTCAAAAATATTTGTTTATATTAATTTATCTCTTTATTGTTGTTGTTGTACACTTTGTGAAATTTAATACCACTTTTTTGCTTCGTACTAACAGCAGTGACATGTTGCATGCATAAATCAAAAGCAAAATCAGCCATTTAACGAGCAGCAGGTTAAGCTATCGACCGATCTGATGTGGCCGGCAAGTGGTAGCGATCGTTGCTAATCGCCTGCTGATTTTGTCGTACTACATTCCCGCTTGCCAATCACAATTGAAATGATGCGCAATGCTGATACTCATAATGAATAATGCAATTATAGTTAATATTATATATATGAGTATGATGACTTTTAAGAGTGATGAAGATCAGTAACGGGGTGATCGTGTAGATCATTATCGTGGTTGTTAGTATTGCTAGCATGTGGTTAACACTGATTGATGAGTTGGACATTGTGTCAATTTTGAAAATGTTTTTTATTTAGAAACAGTAAGATATTATGGAATAATAGTAGTAAAAATTTAAATAAAAGGCTCTAAAAGACTTCTGGGGGCTGACTAATAACATGTTATTTTTTTGTTGCGCAATAATTAATGGCAACTCTAACTGCATTCATCCACTTATTTTCAACCCTAGTAGTAGTAGTAGTATATTTTCCAAATAAAAATTAAATAATATGTAGTTTTTTTTATAATTTTTTAAGATCAACAGAACATAGAACTAATTAAAATTTTATTAACCAGATTTAAAAATGTTAACAAAAATTAAAAATGGCAAAGCAAATAGAACTAAATTAGGTGACCCGCAAATAAACAAAAAATTTGTGTGAGACTATAAGTAAATTTTCTGGCAACACTACTAAACAATTACAATACAATTTCTTAGTTTTTTGACTGTTTAATGTTTCGGACTATTTTTCAGACCATCCAATTTTTTAACCAACAGTACATTACCACACTTACATACACAATATGTACATATGTAAATGTAATAATTTTAAATGCAACTGCATTCATCATTTACTATTCTGTCTGTATATTCCATTATCAACTCACACAAACGCTGCTCTACTTAAACGTGTTGCCACATTGCTGCTGTTTAGTATTTACTATTTTGGCTCGACCTGTTGCCTTTGGTCTGCCATATATCAAACTATCGGCTGCGCCCTTTTATGAGTACAACACTCAGATTCTCAGGCACCACCACTCTGCCAGACATTCTAATTTTATTTCTCTTTAATTCCAATACTTTACTCCACTGAAAAAGAAATCCCAATTTATGGCGCTGCACCTGCACATGAAGAGCATGGAAATTGTCATTGTTGTTACTGTTGTTTTTGTTCCAAATAGTATTTGTAGTTCTTTGCCTCGTTCGTTTACAGGGAGGCGTTGAATGTCAAATGCGATGTTATCGCACACGTTTTGTTATTTTTCGGTTCGCCAATATTTCTGCGACTCAATATAATTTATTTATAATAAAAAATAAAGAAAGATCTTTACGTGCACTTATCGTTTGTTTATTTGCCAAAATTAAAATTGATTGTAAATTTTTTTGATTTATTTAACCTTTATTGGTGTGGTGTGGCAGCGCAACAAAGCAATTGTTGCAAGGGAATTTGCATAATTTTGATTTCTATATAATTTGGACATAATAATATATTTATTTGTTAGTATATATGTTTCCATTTTTGTACTTTATTCTTTTATTTCTAATTAATTTTTAATATTATTTTTTTAGATTTTTAATTGCTTCCTTTTTATTGTTATTTTTCCCAACATTTATTTTTACTGCCCTCAGCAATCTTGGATGCAAATATTTTTTATCTACAAGTACAATTCTCTTCTCTGATTTGTTGTTTTTATTTTGATTTTGCAGAGCTCTACAATCGCCGTGATCGCCTGTGTTTGCGCGCAACTCGCTCCCGGCTCAAATATGTACCTGCCACCCAAGCCAAATGGCTACAACTACCCAGAGCCCAAGAATCCACTGGTAAGTAGGCTAATATGAATGGGCTGTTCACTCACCAACACACACACATACAGCGGCAAATAAATGAATACGTTTGCATTTTGTTGTGTTTCTTAGTGTTTTTATGGCTGGTACTACAAACGAATCGAATTTTTGCCCTTTCATTTGGATTTTGAAATGACTTTATGATGCAATCAGCATGAGAAAATGAAAGCCATTTTGTGGATTTTTGCTAGAGATACCCTTACGTATATAAAAAGTGCTCACCTTAATGAATTAAGCTAATAATTATTGGAGGAATAATATGAAAGTATAAGCTTTAACGGACCCAGCAATTATGCTAGCCATATTAGTGTGGATAGGTCTTAGTTTAATAAAAAAAAACTAACAGCGTTCACTTTTCGATGAAGTTAGTAGCTTCATAGACTTCTTCAAGCCTCTCGTTACAGATCTTCTGGGCTAACGAGTGGTGATCAAATCAATGCAAATAGATATTATGGATAGTACTATAGGTACTCGATTACAAATGTGAACCTGATTGGATGAATCTCACAGACCATTTGCCTGAGGATCCATATTATTTCTTATGAATATCGAATATTATTTATCACCGGAATGATATTTAACGGACCTTCCGCCTAAGTAACTATCACATAGGCAAATACCGACTCAAGATCGTCTCAAATACAGACTGCTACATTAAACTTACAAATATTATTTTTCGCTAGCTATAGGTTTCATAGTCCTTTCGTTCGAGTATTTACTAAATAGGCAATTAAAGACTCAGGATCATTCCAGTGTCGTAGAAACAATGGTAAAGTTTCCATTTGAGGTATTAATTGTCGCTGACTCAGTAAGTGACAAACTAATAACCATGTTGCTAAGAATTGCAGAGCTTGAAAATATCTAGACTACCGAACCTCTACATAATCAGTATATTGGAAGATCTGTGCTGAAATATGGTTTTATTCTTAATTAGTTCTATCAATTTAAAACCAGCTCCCTATGACTGATGGATTTCATAAAAAGAATATACTAACACCAACAGGCGCCAACTGTTAGGAAAATTAAATTAATATTAGTGGCAAGCTGGGATCAATACAGACCCCACAAAAGAGTATTACGTACTTTCAACTATAAGTCACATCGCTGTGACTTCCATCACGACTTAACAGAACGCTAAGCACCGCCTGTCGACTTCTTCATGAATCACGATTCCATCCAGATCTGTCTAGGTAGATCGCTTGTTGCTATCGTCAAATCGAAAATTATGAAAGCACTCTTTTATTCGTGACATACGACTCGAGACATCAAACTAATGGAAGTGCCGAAAATTCTTAAGCTTTCTTATTGGTTGATGCTCATATATATATATACTCATGGTGGGGAAACAAACGAACGAGATTTGAATCTAAATGCACTAAAGAACTAGAAGAAATATAGAGATAATAGTATTTCGGAAATACCCACTAAATATTTGATAATTTTAGGTTGCCTGGCAAATCTCTCTTAGCTTGCTTGATAGAAAGGTGCAACTATCGAAGGAAATGTGTGAACCGAAACGTAAATCAATCGAAAGTTCGGTTGACGAAGCATGTTATATCGTATTATTCCAATGAAAACAAGACTAGAGTTACAATACAAAGCCTATTTACAGAACTTTCTAGGTTTACTCTACTTTTTAGTTGAACCAGATAACGAGATTGTCCAGACAACTGTGTAGTTATTAGGGACCACTCACCTCAAGGTTTAGTTTATAGTTTTATTGTTCTGACAAGCTCTTAAACCCGTAACTTTTTGGAAATTCAAACCTCAACCGGGAGTACAAAGTGTAGACGAAGTTATTACCCTAAAAAAAGCAAAGTAATTGGCAACAATAAAGAGGCACGGCATAGCAGACAGTGCAGAAATGTACTTGTAGGTACTTAGCAGGTGAAGGCACGTGGAGTGGCAGCGGCGTCAAAGTGATGGTTGCAATCAGCCAAAATAGACACAACACCCAAGCAACGATGCAAAGCAATCTTCCACGCTCTTTATGTATTTTTGCTGATGATTCCCAAAATGTGCAAACGAAAAGTAAATAAGCTAAGGTAACAATAACAAATAATACACTTGGTTAGTAGGTGAATGTGCTAGTGGGCACAGCAACAACAATAACAACCACTCACTGTTACCCATAGCAATTGTTTCGCATTTACACTGTACCGTTATTTTATTATGCCACTAGTTAATAGTTTAGCAAATGCTTGCTCCCAGTCACTACTGCCTTGCCGCTGCCAAATCAGCGCTTTCTTCCTTCCAGCTGGCTATTCATTTCGTTGCTCTTATTGACTTTTCATTGTTGCAGTTCAACATTTTTAGGCGGCGAAAATCAAAATAGCGCGGCCTTTGTTTGTGCTTTTTAGTTTTTGCAGTGGTTTTTTCCTTGGGTTGGCAACAATATGTTGCAAGCGCCATAAAATGCAATGTGGCAACAACAGCCGCCGTTGTATGACTTCATTTTACGTGTTGCAGGCTGGGCGAGATTTCCGATATGTTCACATGCATACACACAGACTGGCTTCTAACAGAGCGTTTCCATTTGCTCAATACATACACAACTACAAAAACAACTTCATTTGCGCTTGCAACAAATGAGATTAGTTGCAGGTTTCGTTGATGTTGCGAAAAGTGGCATTTTGTGTTGCCGCTGTTGTTGTTTGTATGTAGAGCAATAGGCATTAAGTTACTTACGGATTTTTATTGTTAATTAGTTGCTTTGTTGTGTTGTTGTGCTGAAAGAGCAATCTGTAACATTTGCAAGACTTGCCACAAATTTTTTGGAAAGGCGGAAGTATATAGGAGGCTCCAAAAAAAGTATAAATTCTTGAAGAGCATGGAAGCTTTTCTTGTTTTTATAAAGTCCTTAACTTGCATATTTAAGACACGAAATGTTAGGTTAGATTGAGTTGCTTTTGGAAATGCAGTTTCAAGACGAATAATAATGCAATCCATTAAAATACAAAATATTTCTAGTGTGCTATTTCGGTGAACTAGTATTATAGTATAAGTTATGTTGCACTCATGGCATATTTGTTTTTCTGTGGAAAATTTTAAATTATTTGTGTTACTCTATAAAATAATGAATGACAAAGCAGTATAGAAAAAATATTGAAAACGAGAAAATCACTCTCTATAACCCTTTGAAATCACTGGAGTCGCAGACAAAGTTTTTGATCAGATTCCACTCGACAACCGAGAACTGTTTAGCGGAAAAGAAGAAGCCATACAAATCACATCGAAGCATTTAGTAATCCACAAAAAGAAACACTCGAAGAACTATAATTACCAGAATGTAAGCGAAATAGACGGTCTGATTCAGATTAATATCAGCAGGGTCGAGTTGATATGAGAGAGAGAGCGCAAATACTTATACTTGTATATAGGCACATATTATATATCCAGAAATGAATATTTTCTCAAAGATAGAGTGCAATTAATATGTTAATATATTACTGATGCCTTCAGAATCAACCAGGAGTCATACTGATCCTCAAAAATACAATTTACAAAGTTTCAAACTCGAAACAATCAGCTCTAATATATTAATTGAAGAACATACACCATTTATCCTGCAATCTATCAGTGATCTTGTGATATATTACTTTGAAGTGTTCTGCGAATTTTTCAGTTTCTCCTTGATAGTTACCCTGGTCTTAAAATGCTCTGGAAAGTTGTTTCTTGCATAAAGAAAAAACACTTTTCAGAAGCAATGGAACCAACTCCTCACTTTGACAATTCCTCAGCCAACGCATCCACAAACTATTGCAGCACAGTTTCGTGTCGCAACTTTTTATTTGTAGTAAACATTTAGCGAAACCCCTTTCGACCTTTTTAGCAGTTACTGGAGCAATAACACTAACAATAGCAACAACAACAACTGCTCTAAAACTACAACAATTATCATACTTGCCAAATTACTTGTAGCACCGTCTTTGGAACCTTTGACATTGCGAGGTTTGTGTGAGAGGCGTGTAAGACAAAAACAAAACAAAACAACAAAAAATAAGTGGAGGAGGTGTAAATGACAGTAGAAAACAAAAATTGAGGCAAATAGTAAAAAAGTAAAAGTTTGAACCACGAAAAGAGAAAAAGACGTGGTGTTGCAAACACACATTTTTTTTATTGTAATTCGGGGCTAAAAGCAGCTGAGGAAAACAGAAAAGCGGCAAACCTAAGAAAGGCACTTGGAAGAGGAATAAACTGAGAAAGGAAATTGAAAAGCAAAAAATAAGAATTTGTTTATTCAAAAATGCAACGCTGCATTTGCAAGTATGTATGTTTGTATGTGTGACTCTGAAGCAGTATTTATGCACACATAAGCCTCGGTCGTCAAGCACAAGCGTCAATAGTTAGTTAAATGCAAAGCGGTAGCAACAACAACAACATTATTAAAATAGCCCACTCGCGACCCGCACCAGCGCACATCACGACATGCCACAAAAACTCTTGAACTTTAAATTAAAGCGACCAACAGCAAAAACTGCTGCCAACAACACGACGAAGACTAACAAGAAAAACAAAAGCGTCAATTTACAATAAAAACTGCCAGACAGTCAGCCTTGCGAGCGAGCAGACAGACAAACAGTCAGTCAAAGCAGACAACCAAGCAGCAGCAGTCACAGTGGCTCAGCAGGGCTAACGGACTACCTGCAAAAGAACTGTTGTCAATGTTATTGTTTTTTTGTTGTTGTTTTATCTTCTATTTCGCAGCTGAAAAGCACTGCTGCTCAAAGCACTCTCGCTGCAGCTTGCCAGCAATTGAGGCTGCCGATCGTGGCCTAAAGTGGCTTGCAACCTGCTGGCTGACAGCAAGCAGCGCCCGCCCCGCACCACCCGCACCCTTTAACTGCACATACGTGTACGCTTAGTGCAGTGCGATCCACGTTCCCTAGACTAGCAACTCACACCGACACTGCACCAACGCTCAAACATACACTTGTTTATTGGCGGCATCGGCATTCTTTTCGCGTGTGCAAAGCCGCACCTCCAGTTTCTCAGCGAGAAAAACGGCACAGAAAAAATAGTACCGAGCTTGTTTTTTTGCTGCAGCTCTTTTTTCGTTACAATTCTTTAGCGCTTTGCTGCTGTAACCGGCATTTTCGTCGCATTTCGCATTGCTTTGCCGCAAATTGTGGCAAACGTACGGCAATTGAATGTCGCCATTCGCCTACGACACATTGCAACTTGTTGGTAACACGGCTGTTGTTGTTATTGTTGTCATGTGTTGCTAAAATCCTACTACTATTTGCTCACCGCTTCTCAGTGTGGCGTACATGTTGACTTTGCTGTCATTTTGAGTCACCTCACTTGCGCCGAAAATAGGAGAGCGCCTTACTTATGTGTACTGCCATCCAGTCGCTGTTGTTGTTGTAGTGTGGTGGATGTTTGCGCCACTGGTCACTGCTGGCATTTCTAATTTGGTTGTGAAATACCTTTTAGGGTTCGCTGTATTGGCATTTACTTTGAGTGTGTTCGTAAATTTTGCAGAGCTTTCAGGAAGTTGGTCAAATTTTTTGAGATTGTAGCTTTCGAAAATTCCGAATTGTAATTTTTTATGTGGAAATGTTTCATGATGTTTTTCCAGCATGTAAAAGCTTTTTTAAAGCTGCTAGTACTTAAATCTTCTTAACAACTTCAAATTGGGAGGAGTTGAGCTTACAGAAGAATTAGTCGAACAGCTTTATGATGAATTAAGTATTTCCTAATTAATTTTCATTTATTTGATCAATGTATGAGGTTTTAGCTAAAGTTCAGACCTTCAACGAAACTAATATATACGGTACCGAGTATGTTTTCTTAAAATATGAAGACCGCAAAGATAGCTGTAATCCTCGAATCTTATTCCTTCGTGGAACTGAACGGCACCGCTAAACATTTTGGAATAACGCTGATATTTAACGTGAAAAGTTTTAACTCATAATGTCTGCACCTCTTAGCTAGAGGAATAGCCAGGATTTACAACATTTCTTAAAAATTTCCGCAAAGACCTTCCAATGTCCGAAAATAAAGAACACTCTCCTATGTCACTATAAATAAACTTATGCATTCTCATTCTTTTTAGCGACCTGGAACCCCAACCGGTCCTGGACCACGACCACCAGGCCCACAGCGCCCACCAGGCCCACAGCGCCCATCGCAACCTGGACCCGGCGAGCCTGTAAGTAAACTTATTAAGATAATTACGATAAAAATATTAATTGAATCAATAGTTATTTGCAAAGCTTTCATTGTTAATTCCAAAAGCTTTGCAATTTCTCAGCAAAAAAAAGAAGTGTATACTTTTTTATTTAATATCTAAATTAGAAATTCTTAAGAATTATAAAAAGCTAAGAATTATAAAAGATAAAAATAAAAAAGTTAGTGAACATTCGAGTAGACAGAAGTTGAATACGAAAGCTTTTTGATTTGCCAGCAAAGGCTTTTATTTCCGCTGAATTCATTTCTTTTGAAATTATGTTGAAAATTGTTTATTAAACATTTTTAAAGTACAAATACTTTAGAGCTTTCACAAAATAAATGAAGAAGCCAAAACAGAAAGCTTTGCTAGAATTTTAGCTTAAACTAAAACACTGCACCTCAAAAGTTCTAAATCCTAAACGTTTTCAAAACCACGCCCTTACAAAGAGAAAAAATACATTTATTATATACGTATTCTCTTTCACATTTCATTAACTTTAAGCATGAAAGCTTTTAATCACTATGTGCTATCCAAACATTAAATATTCATCCAAAATTTTCTTACGTACTTGTCTCCGCAGGGTCACGTTCACGTCCCCGGCATGCCATTCGACTTCGAGTACGCCGTCAATGATGTTGAGACCGCCAACGATTATGCCCACAAAGCTTCGAGCAATGGTGATGTAGTGACCGGTGAATATCGCGTTGCATTACCCGATGGTCGCACACAGATCGTACGCTATACCGCCGACTGGAAGACTGGCTATCACGCGGATGTCAGCTACGAGGGTGAGCCACAATTTCCGCAGGGTCCCGGCGGCCGGCCCGGCTACAAATACTAAGGGAGTACACGCTAAATGATGTTGGAGCGCCTGAAGCACACTCTTGCACGCACGCACACAAACAAACACTCACTCACATGCTCACACGCCAACACACCCACACTTAACTGCAATTAATGCTACAGCAACTGCCACAACAAAAATAAACTACTACTGCCCCACATGAAGATAAGACAACGATAAGGCAATGAAATTAAATTTTTGTTTGGAGAACGAGAAATTCCGGATGTGTAAATTTTTGTTTTGTTTAAATCCATCGAATTTTTATTATTAGTATAATTTTTAATGATTTTTTAGTATTGAAATTTTTTATATGTATTTTTAACTAATATATACAGAGTAGTTCTCATATATTTTTCGAAAAATATGAAAAATAATAATATTCATTTTAACTTTTTTGTATGCAGTATTTCAAATGTTCAAACTCTTTACGAATAAATAAAAAGATATAAAATGAAACGAGGACGCATGTAATTTTCTACGTTTTAAAAGTTTACTTTTGATGTTTGTAGCCTGGCGTTGTCCTGATGGTACATTATTCCTCTCCTCAATTTTTCTCCTATTGACCAAAGCTGGCTGCGTTTGGGCTTCCTTCAAACGGTCCAATTGTTGACAGGACAGGTCCAAATTAAAAGTTTGGCCGTAGGAAGGCAGCTTACAGCAGATGATTATCTGCCAATCCCTATATAAAACCTTTTTTTCACCAACTATTGTACATGTACAAATATGTTCAAATTTTTTTATAAAAAGCTTTAAGCTCACTTTAAAGATCTTTTTCTTTTTATAAAAATGCTGAAGTTCTCAGAGTTTTCTGTAAAACTCATTCACTTACTAAACGGCTTAATTTTTTAATAATAATATATAATACAATTCAACGATTTTTTCGGAAAAGCTTCTACGCTCACTTTCTTTATTCGTTAAATTAAATTTCGTAAAAATTTCAGTTTATAGCTAGAGCTTTTAGTAATAGCTCTAGATTGAGGTAAATATAAAAACTCTAATAAAAAAAATGTATCTTTATGAAATGAAAGCTCGCAAATGTTTGATCTAAAGGGTCATTCAGTAGGACATACATATGTTTTTTTATTGTGAAAGCAAGAAAAGCTTTAGTGAAAGCTTCCAAACTTAATATTCTTCCAAGTATAATAATACCAAATAATTAATCCACTTGTAATGTACATCACAAGAAATGAGTTTTTGAAATTTTCAATTGGACCTTAAATTCAAGAAATAGCTCAGCAGACTTTTTATAAACACTCGCGATGAAATTTGTATTTATATTGTATGGATATCAACCATCCCCAAAGTAGCTTAATTTCTGACATTCTACATTCACTTTTCTGTACTGACCATCCCTATTTGGTGTCCCTACTTTTACTTTTAATGAGTTTCTATGTTGCAGCTGCACTTGAAGTTTTAGACGCTTAAGCTTTTATTTATTGCGTTTTTTGCTCTTTTTTCTTTTGCTGCTTATTTTCACTTCGTCGCGACTCCCACGTGGTCACATAATTTATGACTTTATTGCCAATAAAAATTGTCTGGAATTAAATGAAAGTTAAGCGCATCTTTGCAAAAGCTTCTTTAAGGATTTTGACGATTACATCTTACTTAAGGATAACTTTCTGCCACAAATATTGTATCCTACATACATTACATTTTTAGGCTGTATTTAGTACTATTTCACTATGTCTACACGTTGGTACAGGTCAGTTTTTGATGAAACACGCTCAGGTGCTCCGAAAACGGCAATTCAAGGTGCATGAGATAGTTTAGTTAATGGGCATTTAAAACACAACTGTGGGTCATATGCTGGCTGAAATATCTCACATCCAACATTTCATGCCGATATCGGCGGTGGGGTTCTGCATTCGCTCACTTCCGACAACAAGCGCAATCGTGTTTGACGCTGTTTAAATGTAATCCAAAGGGGTTTTTGCGTGGAGTCGCGACCGTTGACGAAACATAATTTCACTGAACATCAGAGTTCAAAAAGCGATCGAAAAAGTGGCATTGACCAAGCGAACCTGCTCCGAAAGAGTCGAAGACTATCCTATCATCTGGAAATCACTGTTCACCGCTTTCTAGCACAAGATGTGATCCACTTCGATTGCCTAGAGATGAGCAAAGCGTTCACAGACCTTTGCTATGCCGAATTATTCACTTTATTCGTCATTGACTTGCAGAAGAAACAGTAATGTTTGTGACTGCCGTCACCACTGCCAAATTGATCTAATGAAGTTATCTCTTTCTGACATATCTATGGTATTCTGCCGTTTTAGCACCGTGCAATTACTTTCTATTTCCAATAATCACTCTCCGAATAAAAATTTAAGTCGAATTAAGCTACCACGGAGATCTACTTTACAGACATCCAGAAAACGTATTCTTTAGACGGGTTGAGCAAGTTGGTGCAACGCTGGATCAAATGTAATGAGCTGAAAGGAGGCTTTGTTAAGAAATAAATAAAAACATTTTTCCAAATATTTCGTTTTTCTTTGGTAGCCTAGAAATTAGGTAGAAAGTACTTATACGTACAGATAAATCCGATTGGTTCCGATCGTTCCGTTTGTATGGGAACTACATACATATATGCCAGCTACATACATATATGAGTAGATTTTGGGGTAGAAAAGGATCTGAAATTTAAGATTGATGTCTTAAAAACTGAGGCACTTGTTTGCGTATGTACAGACAGAGGGGCATGGCTAAATCGACTCAACTCGTCACTGATCATTTATATACACCATATATTTTATTGCTCGTAGAGAAAAATTCCGAAACTGGACGAGGCAAGCCACAATTTGGAAACAGTAAAAATAAAACTTAAGGATCGTGGGAAGTGTTTCGAACATTAAGAATCGATACAATCTACTAGCCCTATGAATATACTTTTTGAGTAAAATGAAAGTTTTGAAGCGTTTTGCTCTTCTTCAGTCATTTGGGTTCATAAAACCTTTCAAACCACATTAACTACCATAGGTATGTGGTAATGTCTCTTCATCTCGTTTAGTGAAGCCAAAATGCTTTTCTATTTAAACGAAAATCACGTATGAATCTGCAACAAATACTATTTAAAAGCCACTTAATTGTCAATAAAACTTTTGCTTACTTGATGTTAAAAAGTTTCAGTGGATTTGAGTGATGACAAAGGCCTTTTTTGGTCCCAGAATTTATGTCATCGTAATTTAATCAAAAATTGTATTCAGTTTAATAATTATTCACCTTTCGTGAGCACTAACGGAATTGATTTGTTATGATTTTTCCTCTTAAAGATTTTCAACTGTTTATTTAACTGTCAAATTGTCACTTTCTATGAAACATCGACTGAAAATAGTTGAAGTTCGTAATACCAAAAGAGGGTAGAGTTGATCTGAAGTTGTATTGCTTTAACTTCAATTCTACTGAGTGGTGTTGAACACCGTAGTGGGAGTATAAAACATTGGCAGCGAACTTCTGTGCGAAAAGCTCAATTATTGTCGTTTAAGATATAACTCGTTTGTAATGTTCCGAACCGATGGCTCGATTACTGGCACTTCCGTTAGATAACGTACATTTTGACAACTCAACATATTTGTAAACAGAGCTAGGACAACATTACACCAAAAACAACTCTGTATGCGTCAATATCTAGCCAGACAAAAGCTTTTCTTCTCTTTTAGCGAAAATTTTCCGGCCCTATTGTGGAAAATACCTCCAGTAGCTGTAGCAAAGGCCATCATGTTTACTAAACTCCCGTTAGAAATCATATATGGACACTTAGGAAGCACGGAATCATATAAAGGTTAATACTATGCATAGCGACATCTGCCGTCTACTAGCTAGATACAACGACGCGGGACAACGGCATATCATAGCGGTGCTGGCATATGATAAAAATAATAACAATGACAACAACACAACCAATCAACGGCATTTAGGCAGAGAACGTAAATTTAGGCAGAGAATGTTGATGAATTCATAAAAAATTCATCAACATTCTCTGATTTAGGTAAGCAATCTCTGAAGTATTGAAATTACGCTAATTTTAATTAAACATGTGTTTCTTATATTCAAATATATTGCTATTTATTTTTTTATAAATATATTCCGTCAATTACTTTATAATTTATAACATTTTGGTAGAACATAAAATTTCTACGCGACAGCATTAACATTTGGACTTTCTTAGGGGAATTTTTTCAATAAGATTTTTTAATTTGTAGTTTTTGTCTTTTTTACATATTATAGTTAATTTTTTATGTATACATACACACATATAATATGTATTTTAGTTACAATTATAAGAGTATACTTAAATATACTAATAATACTTTACGCTTACAAGTAGGATTATTATGATTTGTAGTGTTTTTGTTCGTTTTTTATTCCTAATTTTTTGTTAAAATTCTTACTCACACAGGCTTTAAGTTATTTATTATTACTTACTTACTAGTGCATTTTGGTGTTTTCTTTACTTATATACAGCGTTATATAACTATTTATATTATATATAAATTTTATTAATATTATAGTAATTTACAATTAGACATACATATGTACTTAATTTTTTTTTATTTTAATTATTTTAATTTTAATTATTTTATATATTTTTATATTTTTTACTAATATTTGTGAGATAACCAGGCGTCCATTGCAAATATGCTAAATTGCTTAATTAATTGCATTTATATTAATTTAAAAGTAAAATTTTAATTCTATAATGATTTTCAAAATTTGTATTTAATTAATTTTTTATTATTTTTTTTAATAATTATTTTTAAGCATTTTCTTTCATTTAAAATTCTTATTTTATTTAAAAGCTTAACCTTTTACATATCACTTAATAACCTAAATAAAAAATGTTTTGTAAATTTTGTCTTACTTTTTATTTATTTATATTAATATTGATATTTTTCATTGGTATTTTTTACACTCATTTTTAAGCTTAATTTTACTTGTTGCTGGAGTGGTTAAATATAAGTGCCTTTACGGGTTTAAACCAGTTTGGAAGATTGCAGATTTCATTTCATTTATAAAATTTACAATAAGGATATTTTAATTATATTTACTTGCTCTTTAAAAATGCTACTACAAAGGTAGATTATCTATATGTGTATATTTGTGTGTGCTGGAAATGAGTTAGTAGATAAAATGCTTAAAACACAATTAAAATTAAAAAAGAAGAAATCACTAATAAGCATAATTTAAAGAATTTAAAATTAAAAGAGGTACAATTAATAACAAATTTAAATTAAAAGTATGTTTTAAATAACAAAAAAGAGAATATAGTAAACAAATGTTTTAATAATAATTGTGAAAATTATAAAAGTCGGACAACAACGATTTGAAAACATAACAAATACACAAAAATTAATTATATATAAAATTATAATTAAATTATTAAACAAAAATTTGGTCTGAAATAATATAAAAACGTATAAAAAATATTTTGTGTATATGAGTTATAAAATTATGAATATATATTATTGGTAAGCCGTATTTTTGTAAAATGTCATTTATGTAAATAAAATAAACTTTAACACATTTTAAACCAAAAATAATTTTTCTCTAACAAAATAAAAAAAAACTTAACAAACACTAAAATAAAAAGTAATGAAAAAAATAATAATAAAAAAAAGTAATGAAATAAAAATAATAATAAAATTATGAAATAAAAATAATTATATCAACAAACAACTAATGAAGTATTTTTCAAATAATTACTTGAACTCATCAAATTTATATGTTTGTAGCAATATGCTAAGGTAGTTGAAGTCGATTTTATCTAACATAGGTGCTTTTATTTCCAGTAAAAAAATACCTACTTTCAAGATACCACATCTAAGCGTTTATTGATGATAAACTACAAAATAACTCAATTTGTCTTGAAATGCGTTAAATCGACTTAAGCAACTTTAAGATATAACACTATATTCGTATATTCCCAATTTCCTTGCAAATTTGCTGCAGATCTCATGTAGTTGAAAAATTATGCCAGTCGATGCTCGATTAATCGAAACTACTTACAAACGTGCTGAGTAACGCTTAATAATTATATTGTTGTTGCGATTAGAATTTTATAATTTAAGCATATGCTTTGGAAATGTATAATTACAAAAAGTTTCGCGACAAAAAAGTTCAAGCTCAAAAATAAAATTTCGAAATTTAACTGTATTGAATACTTGCAGCTAAAAAAATATGAATTTTCACAATTTGGTTTTGAAAACTAATTACGCGCAAACTCTCTCGCCACTCAGCAGCAACGCGCCAAACGGAAATACTTGAAGGGCGAGTTTCGACGGCAGCTTCCACACAAATGAAATTCAGCAATTGTTTTTGATAAACCTGATTATTTATTAACTTAATTTATACATATTATTTGTATGTTTATATATTCTCATGTTTTTTGTTTTTGTGTTTTTTATTAAACATTCAATGTAACTAATGCCACATCAAGGCCTTAATCTCACTACAGAAATCTCAACACTTTGAAATACATCAAAATATTCGTATCTACTTGTTGTTGTTGCTTTTAATGACAAATTGAAACAAAATAGAGTGCAGAGCAAAAGCACAACACGACTTCATCGGTTAATTTCAATAATTTTTTTCTTTTTTATTTTTATTACAGCTAAGTAAATAAAACAATGCATAAACTAAAGTAAATTTGTTATATAAAATAATATTTTGCAAAAATTCTTCTAATTGAATATGTAAAAACCATATTGAAAGGTAAAAAAAAGCTAGAAAAAAGTGCACACATTATTCAGCAACACATACGAGTTAATTAGAGCGTCAAATTGTTTTTTTTATTATTTTTTTTTTTTGAATATAGTAGCCGTAATATTTCTTTAAATAAAGTTTGCAAATTATTTTTAATATATTTGCTGCAGGTTACTAAATTTTTTACTTGTTTTATTTATTTTTTATTACACAGTTATTGTTTAATTTCCCTTAGCATCATTATATTCTGCATATTCTATAGTAACGTATGGTAAACTATAGTATCGCTTTTTCACTTTAACTTTCAAGTCGCAATAAAAATATATGCATTTATATCTTCATGATATATGTATGTATGTAAATAGAATTACATACACACCCGCCCTAATGATTACTATCGCCACCAATATTGCCATTTTGCTGTTGGCGGACGGAACGTCTTCTCGTCATTATACGCAGCGCAACACCGCCGTTATTACCACCAACATCCATGGCGGACTCATCGATCACCAGGCCACTGGTGTGCTCTTCATTCGCCATACCAACCACCGCATTATCGACAATACTTAGCGGATCCACTGCGGCAATGACGGTATTAATGCCACCCAACATTTGTTGTTGTGCATTATTACTACCAAGACAATTGCCGGCGTCATATTCATTGATTTCATTCGATTGCACCGAAGTGCGGCGTAATTTGGACTTTTTTGGTGGTAACGTACGTGGCGCGATTACATGCGTCGGCGTAGCAGGCGTTATAACGGCTGGACTATCATTCAGTTCACTGCAATCATAATTACGTTTACGCGAGGCGACTGTGCGTAGCATGGCGCCACCTGCCACAACAGGTGAGGCGGTAATGAAGGGATTCAAAGTGTTGTTGCCATCAGCTTCCAGCATCGGTTTACCAACCGCGATTGGCACATGTGGTTGTTCCTCATTGCCATTGTAGAAATCATTTGGTGTGCCATAGTTGCGTAGACAAGAATTTTCATCGATGGTCTCCAAAGGTCGAGGTGCAGCATATTTCAGTTCGTTGGCATTGTTGAGCGTATTGTGCGTTAGCGGAAGAGCAGTGCTGCTAGCGTTGTTAATAGTTGTAGCGTTAGTGTTGTAGGGTATGGCACAGGTTTCGGCAACATTTACTGTTATGTTGCAAGGAGCAACAGCGCCATTGTGGCTACTGTGCAGAGCAGGGATATTGGCATCAGTAACTTCTGCATCTGCGACTTTTATAGTATTCTCATTGTCCAAACTACCAGTTTTCAATTGAAAATTCTCCTTCTCCAACGTTAGTATGCGATCGCGGGTGGTCTTCAGTTCTTGCTGCAGAAATAAGATTGTACTTTGCATGCCTTCAACATCTTCGTCTAATTCGGGTAGAAAATCGTCGACCTCTGTGGCAGGAAGGAGAGAGGTAAATTAAGTACAAATATAGAATAAATATAAGATGCAGCTACTTATTTCGCTAATTTTATAGCTTGTTTACCTGATTGTGACTTCTTTACTTCTTCGCAAAAACTCTTTTGCATGGCCAATTCAGTCTCTAGTTTGGCCAAACGACCGTTCGAAGTCATTTTACCCAGTTCCTCATTTTCCTAATGAAGTGAATTTTTACAAATTATAAAATATCTTTTAAATTGATATAACTTTTCTTGCTTACTTGATATAACAAACGACATTTGGCGATCAAACGTTTGCCTGTATTTGAATCTGGTGTGAATTTCCAAGCGGACAATTCATTTTGGGTTTCCTCCAACTTTGCTTTGGTAGCCTTTAGCTCTTTCTTGAGCTTCTCAAAAAGCAAATTAACAGCTGGATCAAGCAAAGCTGCACGCAGTGCCAATGCAGTAGGTGCCTGTGCTGCTTTATATTCGGCAATTTGGCTCTGCAAGAAATTTAATATAATAGAGATTTATATTAATATAATTAACCAATTTTTTTTTTCTTTCAACATACCACATAATCCTGAAATTCTTGCTCCTTATTGGCCAAACGGCGCATGAGTATTTTTTCGCGACGTTGTGCATCAACGCATTGCTGCGATAGGCGCGTCTGTTCCAACTTGAGATTTTCAATTTCATCTATATTAACAACGCAGAGAATTTCATATTTAATGAAAAGAATAAATAAATTATACATGGAACAAATTTGAAATGTACGAAAATTTGTTGTAAATATTTAAATATAAGCTAATATGTGATGAAAAATATTTACACATTTAAAAATATAACATAAATTGAATATATATACATACATAGATTATATGAACAAGTTATAATAAATAATTATGTACATTTTGTTTCTAAATTCAACTTAATACGAAATCATACCAATACTGGGTGCAACAAGGTGCGTTTGTGTGCGAATTGCCGCACATTTCGTGAATTTCGAGTTGGCATTTTTGTTTTCTGAGTGTGTTGACTCTGCGATTTGTTGCGTTACGTTACGTTGTTGTTGTGTATATTTATTTTTCTTGGAGGACGGTCAGCTCAGTGTTGAAGAGTGTGACAACAGACCATTCAGAGCAGTTCATATCGTTATGTATATTGCGACGCGAATCAAACGCCAATATTTTTTACCAAAACAGTATAGAAAAGCTACAAAGCGAATTTTTTCTAAATTATTTTTCGCAATACACAAACACAAGTAACGAACTTAATAATACTTTTTCAATTTATTTTTTCCCGCACAACCAGCACTGTAAATTATTTACAAACAGTTTTTTCTATGTGCCATGAAATAAGCATTAAAATATATAATATATGCATTTGTATTGATAAACTTTTCTCTAAAATGCTTTTTGATTTTAGATTCCATAAATCAAAATGCCAACAGCGCACATTTTTTAGGGCGAGACACTCGTATATTTTTATTTTAGATATATAGATATATCTTTATATTTGAAACACAATTACATCGACAACTAACACTCTTTTCTGACATTTTCAGATAATACCGGTTTAACACTTTGTAAGGTACATATATATACAATGTTTATGAAAATTTACAATTTATTTCAATGATTAAATATTATTTTCTATTACGCTTAGAATATTTTCGATATGCTTATCTGTAAGTAAACAGATTATGATATTTTGAAAGACTGTTTAGAAATTATTTTTCAATTTTACTTCAATAGATTTCTGAACTAACACAACCAAGAAGCTTTATACGTATAAACTATATTTTTTCTGCCGCTTCCATTATTACTATATGTATATTTTTTGCGCCACTCTTTTTATATCACTCACATCCCACCACAGCATTCATTTCAATACCAGGCTATTTAATGGCTATTTAATAGTAATAACCATACATGACTTTGCATATATTTTTATATATACTTATTTACGCTTATTAGCAACACCTTCATTATAACACAAAATTTTTATAGTTTTTCAATTTATACTTATTCGTACTAGTAGATCATTTTTTCGCTGTAAACTTTTTTTTAATTTCTCCATGTTATATGTTTTAATTTGTTATAAAACAGCTGTTAGAATTCGATTTAACAGGATAAGAAACAATATACCATACCAACGTCAACGTGGGTGTGGCAGGAACGAAAACGGACGAAGGGATATACAGCAGCATAAAACAGAACACACGACGTATAATATGATACCGACGACGATGTGGCGAAATGGCGTTAACAATATAAATGTAGACCGCTTATTTTTTTATGTTTTCTTGATTTTTTTTGTTATTATCGTTGCTAAAATAGTGAATTACGATAGAGACTTAAGATATATAATGATTATATGTAGAGAAAACTTCTATTGTTTAATATGGCGATTTTAACACAAAATAAATTTATAATTGTAATTAGAAATGACTTTGTAATAGGCGTATTTTCATAGATATCACTTTTCATTGATATTGTCTCCAGACTTTTGTGTTTATAACACAAATTATAATTTTAAAAAAATCGACACATAATTTTTTTGTCATGCACTTTAGTTCATTTTTTCATTATTTACATTATTATTATTTTTTTCACAGTTTTTTTCGCACTACATCTTTTTTATGCCTTTTAAAATCACAATTATTAGCCAGAGTTCAAGAGGAACATACATATACTTCTTTTCATCATATCTACAAATTGATTTAAAACCTCACAATTTCACGCTTACAAACTATGATTTGTACTAGAATAAAATGTTCTGAAAGAGTCAAAAAGAGTGTTCGCTGATCGATTAACAAATTGAGTTTCTAAAAAGCAATCATTGCACACGCTCCACTTAGTACACTTCGTATTTTCCGCACTTACCACAAATTTAGCGTAGCCCGACTAGTCCATTATTTATGGATTACAGTCATAGCTGGCTAACTTGCATCGAGTATTGGTCTATTCAATATTCTTAATGTACATTTGTTGTACAGAAAATGTCAACAATTCAAAAATAAATCAAAGTAAAAGTACATTATTTACCAGTAAAAATATATAAAAAATAAAACATATTTCAACACACACCGAGTATTTAAGCATACGATCATACTATTTGTTCATACTTGTCCTTTTGTCAATTTATCCCTACTTCTTTTTTACTATTAATTTGTTTTTTGTATTCAATATATACCTTCGAGCAACCGCTGACGATGTTCGGCAGCAGCAACGGCCTCAGCGACAGAGCTTGGCTGTTGCTGCTGCTGTTGAAGTTGCTGCTGCTGTTGAGTCTGATGGTGTTGGCTATGATGGTGCACATGTTGTTGCTGTTGCTGAGTTGGCGGCGGCGATGGTGGCTGATGTTCCACAAGTTGATGCATATGCCGCGAATGATGATGATGATGATGATGAGAATGATGATGATGTGAATGATGGTACTGATGCGAAGGCTCTTCGCTACCGGATGGCGTTGGCGAGGCAGGTCCAGACGGTGGTGCACCGCCAGCACCTAAACCATTGCCGCCACCCCCACCGCCCACTCCGGTACTACCATGCAAATTTTGTTCATATTGTTTCGACATTTTATCGTAACTGTTCATCAAAGGTCTTTGATCGTCCATAGTCATTGCAGCGACACTCATTACAGTACAGAAGGCAAATACCGTGCCACAAAACTAGTTTATAAAGTTTTTAATTTTTCTTTGATTAACGTTTTGCTCTAAAGCAGAAGTTAGTTTTGTTGTACACCGCACCTCCAAAGTGATTGCTTTCTACAAACTAACACGCCACGCAGCAGCACGTATGCCTGGTGCGTTTGTTTGGCTTTTTTCACGAGTTGCTTTCGCTTCTTCTCCTTTGCCTTCTCGAACACTTATTTCTTTCTTTCTTTCCTCTGTGCTACTTTTCTATGCTCATATAACTTTTTAATTGCCTATTGCTTCTTCTTCAACTTTTGTGAAATATATATGCATGGAAACTTTCAACTAGCTCTCCGCTGACAATTTTTCACTTCCAATATTTGCGCACTTTCCAACTTTTCCGCTACTTACTTTTATCACTATCGTATTAAATGTGTATTCAACTATATTTTTTTAATATTTTTGTAAGAAAATTTTCACTTTTTCCATAATAAATATTAACTTTTCTACACAACGAAATCTCGACGCGTCACTATTTTAATTTATGAAAATTCAATATGGTCGTCTTTCACCTTGTGCTCATGGACATGAACGAGACAGATGTATAGAATTTCCCCAAAAATGGCGAATATACAAAAAGTTCAGCAGGGTTGCATCGGTTAGGAAAAAATTATACTTAAATAAAGTTTTCATAAGCACGTAATGGACTTTTACGTTCTTTCTTATTGTCTTAAAGTTATTAATTTATAAGTATCGGCCAATATTAGATCTTTAATAATATATACAGAAAATGTTCAAATCATATCTTCATATAATTACATGAATTAAATGCTTGCTTCCATATTTTCACAATATGAAAAAAATAATATAATTTTTAATAACCACACAAAAAAATTTACACATAATCTCACGGTAGAATTTGTTTTGCTTAGTTTTTTGACAAATGTCAAAACACCGTCACTTTGTTCGTTAAACATTCACATTGTTTACAATACTAAACTCTAGCAGGACAATGACCGATAAAAAGGTACAAATAAACAAACGCGGAAAGGGACGTGTAAATCGTGAAGAAATACTTCAATGGAGCAGAGAGGAGCTGATAGCCAAGATTTTACAATTGGATGCGTATAACTTCCAAATAAGAAATTTGTTACAAAAAAAGTTGGGACAAAATGACTGCGAATTTTATGAAGAACTCGCCAGCTTGGACGCTGAGGAAAATACAGAAAAAGTTCAACATACTCAACCACAACCAATTCAAAAGCCACAAAAACGTAAATTCGACTTTAAAAAGTAATAAAATAAATAAATAAATATTTCGTATCTGTTCAAAATGCATTTAATTTGTTCATTGTACATAGGAGTCACAAGCGGCACGTGCTGATGAAATTGCTTTATTTCGGTTGGGACTACCACGGCTTGGCAACTCAAGAAGATTCAAATGCTACAATAGGTACAAAATAATCCATTTTATTTTAAATTATCTTTATTTACGATTATTCTTTACAGAGCACCACCTATTTCAAGCGCTAATTCGCACCTGCTTGATAGAGTCGCGCGAAACTGCCAATTATCACCGTTGTGGTCGCACTGACAAAGAAGTAAGTGCCTTCTGCCAAGTTATATCAATAGACTTACGCAGTAAATTTCCATTGGAACAACAGCTTTTAACTGAATCAATAGCTAATGAAATTGATTATTGTGCATTATTAAACCGTGTCCTTCCCCGCAACATACAAGCGGTGGCATGGATGCCGCTCCGCAGTCCAGTGTACAGCGCTCGTTTCGATTGTGTCGGGCGCACATATCGTTATTACTTTCCAAAAGGAGATTTAAATATAGAGGCGATGCAAACAGGATGTGAATTGCTAGCAAGACATACCGATTTCCGAAATTTTTGTAAAATGGATGTTAACAACGGCGTGACCAATTATATAAGGCAAGTTTTTAAAGCTACTGTACAAAGGTGCGAAGTGGAACAATGTGGAAAAAATTCTTTAGATGGTTAGGTCAATGAAATTATAGTTAAAATAACATATAATAATTGTTTAATATTTTAAGCAGGATATGCTATGTATATGTTAGAAATCAGAGCTAATGCCTTTCTTTGGCATCAAATTCGCTGCATTATGGCAGTTTTACTGCTTATAGGTGAGGGTAAAGAGCAGGCGGAAGTAATAAGTGAATTGCTGGATGTAGCCAAAAACCCATGGTTGGTATTTATTATATTTCAAATAAAAATCTTACAATATTTTTCAAAACTATGTCGTCAGCAAGCCGCAATACACTCCAGCTATCGGTTTGCCATTAAATCTCTTTCACTGTGAATTCCGCAAGCATACCATACAACCTACTGGTAATATTACAAATGATGGGGGTTCAGCGAATTCAGAAAAAGAAGATTCGCATACAACTGCTTGGATATACGGTGATGAACACCTACAAAAACTCATCGAGAATGTGCAAGGTGAATGGATGCAGTACAATATCAAGTTAGTATCCATTGGAATTTTCTATTTCGAATTTCGGATATTTACAAACTAAATATGATATTGTTTCAGAAGTACTATGATACGCGATGTGTTGCACCAATTAGAAAGCACCTATCAAAAAGAATATCAGTCTTCACCACAGGTGCAAGCGCAGGCTTGGTTGCTGCAAGACGGAGTGCGTCCACGTCAATATCAACAACTTTTAAATCGCAAACGTTGTGGTGCGTACTTATAAGATAAATGATACTTAATTTATTTATATATTACTTAACAACCGAAATTATTACATTTTACAGAGAGTTTGGAAAATCGTATTGAACATTTCGTTAAAAAGCAGCGTTTGATAGTTACCAACGATCCCGCAACACAAAGCAACTTAGTAACGAAAACGATGGCTAAAACGTAACATACACACATACATATTAAAATCTAATAAAATTTGTACCTCGAATTATGAATAAAATGATCTTATTTTGTTTCTTAATGATCAATCATATGTTAACCTTACCCAATTTTTACGCGCTGCATATGCGGTACATTGCATTGTCATCTTTAAGAAGTATTTTAAAGTTAAGAGTAAACGAATGTATTTCTAAATTTAGGGAAATAAACGATTATCTTATTAAACATCAACTCTTATACAAAATTACACATATATACATAAGAATTAAACAAAAAAAAACGTTAACTCCGTTGCTCCGAAGCTCCATAAAAAAGTTTCCATATATGTAAGAACTTGATTTTGATCGATCACTATATGTTATATGCTGTAGTGGTCCGATATTTACGGTTCCGGCAAATAAGTAGCTTCTTGGAGAGAAAAGGCCGTGTGCAAAATTTCAGATCGATATCTCATAAACTGAGGGACTAGTTCGCGTATATACAGATTTACGGACACGACTAAATCAACTCAGATCGCCATGCTGATCATTTATATATGTATGTATGTTTATGTTTTATAGTGTCTCCGAGGTTTCCTTTTGGATACGTTTACCTCTGTTCAGGGTATAAAAAGCGTGTTAATAAATAGTTTAGCCATATATAAATCACAATCCATACAATTAGATTTATCTTATCTGAATTTATTTAATACAATAATCCGATTAGTCTCAACCAGAGAAGATAACGACAGTATTTTTATTAAAATTCTAACAAATATTTGAATGTATGTACATATGTATATTTGCTTTGCTATCCAATAACTGAAATTAAAGTTGCAATGGCGCGCTAACAGATCAATTTAATAAAAGCGCTGCTGACTGGCGCGCTTCATTGCTAACACTCAATGCTTTTTGTAGCTTTTTATACAGTGTACATATTAATTCAGTAGCTGATAAATCGATTTGAATTCGAATGCTTAACACCTTGTTCAGTTGAGTTTTTGCGTTTCCATCGCGCGGTCGAATTTGTACAATTTCCGCTAATGCTTAAGTTGTGCGTATTGAAGAATTTAATATTTTGCATATATTAACATAACCGCAACAACAACAACATCAAACTCATAATTTATCAATTTATTTTTAAAAACTGCTTCGAATTTTTGTGTCACGTCAGAGCAACGCCACAAAATGCACTCAATTGGTAGTGTGTTGTCCCTACACTCGGGTTATTTTGCAAGTGTTTTTTTGTTGATAGTGCTGCTTACAGCGGTCAACACTTACGAGGAAAACGACAAATTTTGCATACGCACTCAACCAATGCTGCTGGCAGATATTGAGAAGCATGTGAATCCTATAGATGATGATCCTAATTGCAAAGTGCTGGCCACAACGCTCACCACGAAGGAAAAGGTAAGAGTGAGGATATACACTTATATGGTATAAGAAATAGAAAACGTATACTGATTTATTGTTAAACTATTCTTGAAATGCCTCCTTATCACAACGTATCTATTGCATTTCCGTTTTAAAATGGTGCTGCCATACGGAAATCATTTTCAATGTGGCGTAACGATTTTTAAAAGTAGCGAAAATATTATATAAAGTTTTTGAACATAAAAATCCTTATAAACTAAAATATTTACCATTAACAAGGTAGTGAGATACGCGCTACGAAATATTCAGTTGCAATCAAACCAGTAGCAACACAAAGTTCTAAGTTTCGACTCCGTCCACGCCGTAGAATTTCAATTTTATCACGTAAGTTCCATATGACATAATATATGTTACTGAAAATTTTTAAAATAAATTTCGCAATAATTTATTAATAAAATAATAAAGAAACATATATATTCAGATATTTCCTTTATTTTAAGGTATTTTAATATAAATGATATCAGTTAGCGATAGCGGTTTTAACGCCTATGCCTAACCAGAGTATTAAATAAAATAATAAATATTTAAGGATCTGTTAATATGACTAAAATACAGTTTAAAATCCATTTCTGTGGACTTTTCTGGCCAAATCACCGCTACCGTTGTTATTTGGCTTCACAGAACACAGTAATTGAGAGTTAATAGAGCATGGCAAAATTCTTTGCTTCTGGCAACTTTCATTTTGAATAGAAATTCCGTTATAATGTTAACCGGCCTAAAATATTTGTGAAACAAATTAGTTCATTTCACTAATAAAGACATTAAACGTCAACCAATTTCTATAAAAAATGCAAGGTCAGCCAGCGAGTTTTTCTATTCAATGACCCCACATTGTACATATGTAGCTGCTAACAAAATATTCCAGTGCAACTAAATTACCTCACACCAACCAAAAATAGATTCCTCATTGACAAGAACCAACCAAATTTGGTAAAAAATACATGACATAGAAATGAGTACGAGTACGTAGATATGTATTACTTGCATGTACATGGAATAAAGCATGGAGTTACAGGCCTGCATACATATGGACGTATGTGCGCCAGTGCAACAATGAGGCAATGCTTGGCTGGAAAACAAGTTTTCTTAGCAATGAAAATGTCAAATAACATTAATTTGCTAAAGTAAACGTTATCGTAAAAAACACGAGTTTAAATTTATGATGGGTGTCTGTTACGGATTTATATTCATACATAGTAATTAGTATACGTATACTTGTAGATTACTAAGTTCAAAATTTGTACCTATTGAAAAAAAATGTGATATTACAATTAATTTTCTCGACTTTTTGCAACATCCGTTTTACTAGTAGAAACCAAAATTAGTCCCTGTCGGATATCAAGAGTATATCGTTGTTTTAAACTTAGATGACTTAAATCGCGATCATACTTGTATATAAGTTATGACTAAATGAAAGCAGTTATATTATATTAGTAATATTCAAATAAGCCACTATTAAGGTTAAACATTAGGACACATTCTAAGTAGTAATCGTTTATACAGGATTCCAAGTCATACGATGTTTTATGATCTAGTGGAGCAGAAATAGCTTCAATAGATCATAGCCAGCCACTTTTTTTAATTGTTATGGTTGAAAGTTTGTTCAGAAAAGAACTCATGAAAGCAAAGAAAAAGCAAAGGCGTAGCACCTCCATCAACTAACTGTTTACTGACATTATCGTATCCTATACCAACAGTATATCTAATTATCGGACTTATGCTTAATCCTGAGAATATATGTTGATATATGTATACATTATCATCATATAGTATCCCCGTTGAGTTTACACAATAGATGTTCATAACCTAGTGTAAACCTTTCAGATATCTGTCAATGCACATTTGCAAAAAAAGTTTCACCAAAAATAATTTTATTTGCAAAGCAATATTATCTACACTCGAGTGTTTATCTACTCAATTAATTGGCACCATTCGTTTTGATTTCGGCTCCTAATTATATGCATTAATGGGATTTAAGTGCTTTCTTCGGAAAGCCTTTACGCGACAATAATGATAAGAAATCAAATTTGAAAGAACTCATAGTTAAACGAGGAAATGCCGTTATCATAAAAAGCGTGGGATATTCCAAAACGAATATGAGCTTATTAGTTGGTTGATAAACAGCTGATTGTTGTTAAATAATATATGGTTGTACTATTTATTTACATTTTCTTGTATATTTTTATATTTCAAACATGCAAAAACTCATTATTTAAAGAGGATTTTAGGAAAAAAAATTGCTATGTACACATGTATGCAGGATGCGCCTTTTTTACATAAAAAATGTTGCCCTAAAAATTAAATTTTCAATTTTTAATTCGAATTTGGGACATCTTGAATTAAAAATTGAGAAAATATTCTTTAATTAACAAATTGGAGTAACAAATAAAAATGTTATTTTTCCAATTGAAAGCTGTAATAAAAAGGTTGAAAAGCAAAGATTTACATATTTCTAACTGAAATACTGCAATTAAGATCATTTAAATATAAATAAAGCAAAAAAATATGAACTTTGTTGATATTTTACTAAATCTTCTCAAAAGATAACCAAAATGGTTAAACACGAAGTAAGCAAATGCCAAAAATGTAAATTCTAAAACAATCAATTTTTTATATTTTTAAGTATAAGCTTTGAATTAAACAATTTCTTTTTGGATTTAAACTTTTGTTTTTATTTTTCCATCCAGTATTTGGGATTAAAAATAAGAAAAAAATGTTAATTAATATTTTCGGGATCATGAAATAAAAAAATAATTAAATGTTAAATTAATTATTTTGTAATGCAATATTCGCAACCTCACATGTATGTATATGCAATATTTTTTATTAAATTAATATTGACAAGGTTATGACGCCGATTTCCATTTAGATTTAGCTTTAAATGAGTAACAAATTTAAAATTTTTTTTATTACAACTCATCAAAAAACGTTTTAGATAAATTTTTCAAATACGATAACTTATTTTTAATTTTGGTAAATGCTCTAAATACACCCCCGTCATTTAAATCGTCAATGTATCATTATTATAAACCTGAGTCATATTTTCATAATTCAATCATTCACTCAATCAAATCAAATGTCGTTTAATTGATTTTGACATACATACTCGTATATGCTTATCGTATAATAAAACCTAAAAAATTTGTGAATTGCAGGACATTTTCGTGGAGACCATGTGTAAGGATCATGGCACATCATATAAGGATAGTTATTATTTCTTCAAACTACGCAATGGAGAACTGAGAGGACGCGGGTCGCACAAAGATATTTGCAATGGTGTGAAAAATCCACTGCTTGCTTGGGTGCCATACAATATGGTGCTGGAGAATTTCGCACAAGAATTAAATCCGAAAGAGGTGAGAAAAGTCGAAATTAACGGTAATATACTAAATTAAGAAGTATTCACTGAATGCAAATCAAATTATGACTAAGTGCGCCATTGCTTCGATGGCAGCACACCTATCATGTGACAAAAAATATATCTTTTCACACTTCGATTAGAAAATAACAACAAATGCAGGCATTTGTGACAGTCAGAGTGCAAACAGCTCTTTTAATAATATTAACAAATTTGTAAATAAATATGCGTAGGTTTTATTTGTCTGCAAAATCTAATTCTACTCGAATTATTTGGTGTATTAACATAACAAGATTTACTTTTTTAAAAATCTGATACTTTGACGTACAAATTACGGTTTCTTTCTATTTTAAGTCGAAATAAGCTAATTTTTTAAATTAAAAAAATTACCGTATCTTTGGGACATAAGAAGTTTACACCAAATTCCGTGGAAGAAAATTGGTTTGGTACAATGTAAAAATATAAAAAGCTCAAAAACTTGGAGATTTGAATTTTTCTCATAAATTTGAGGTTATGTGAACACAAAAGTTATAGATCTTTTTATTTCCTACAACTTTGCCGTATAAGGGTTCGTAGTTTTGTCGAAAATCAAGACAAACCGTTTTTAACCCTTAAAAATTCAACCACGACGTGAATTATTTTTATACTCTTGCAACATGTTGCTACAGAGAGTAATAGTTTTGTTCACTAATTGACATAAATATGGAGTTATATATGTATATAAATGAACACGATGTTTGTACAAGTATTCGTTGGCAAAAAAGTAAGGGCGAGTTCTTAGATGGACGTAATCGGACCACGCCCACAAAACGCCATTAAACGGAAACTTATAAAGTACCATAACTCACCATTATTAAGATATAGAACTGTAATTTGGCACTGGGGATCGCAGTAGCAAAGGGCACCTGTGGGCTAAAATTACAAAAAGAACGTGGCTTCGCCCTTAAGAGGTTTAATGTACATATCTACTAAACAGCTCAAGCTATAATCAAGAAATTCGTTCAGAACAAATCCCTTAGGCACCATTACCGACACTGTAAAAATGAAATCGGATGATAACCCCGCTCACTCCCCATATAAAGGTACCGTTAAAAACTACTAAAAGCGCTATCCGTTCCCACGACAGTCGGGTCTACGTAACCGGAACGGACCCGGATTTATTCCGGCCAAGGACTGTCAACTCGGTAGAATTCTGCCGCTACAACAACAACAACTAAAAGCGCTATAAATCATTAAGTATATTAGCCAGAGACATTAAATATCACATCCAAGATGGTGCGAGAGCGCTTTATAGGAGACGGGGTCTAAATTAAACAATGGGCGTGGCACCGCCCATATTTTGGTGAAACTTATATCTCGGGACTTGCTCAACCGATTTCAACCAAATTCGGTGGGTAGCATTATTCTAACATTCTTGTATGGGAAAATGGATGTGAATGAAATGGATATGAATTTCCCTGGATTTCATTCTTGCAAGATGCAATAATATGTATTTCACACAATATTTTTGGACAAAAATATTAATCAATCTGAATAATAGGCTCATTAATCCACATGCGAAGTAAATATATTTTAAAAGATGTCGCTTAGAAAACTGATTTTCCTAAAAAGGAAAGGTACATTATAAGACGAGTAAATAATCTAGAACTAACTTCGGATGGATCAAAAATTGACAAGACAAACTACTATTGAAATGATATTTTATGAAGTTTAGATTTTATCGGGTCGTTCAAACCGTTCAAAGAGATTTCAGCACGTCCAGACTACTTATTCTTAGTGATAGTGAAAGATCCTTAAGAAGAAAGTTGATTTTATGGCGCACTCTATATTTAAATTTTGTTTATTTTTATTCCACTGTTTAGCAACTCAGTTATATTGGCAAAGCCACTGATGTGGATCGTGCAAAGACAGAGCTCTGTCACTTCAGCCACACCGATCTTGTCACTAACATCACATCCGACCTCTTTGCCTGCATTGTAATGATTTTCGAGGACAACTTTGTAAGCCTAAACATTTAAACTTAATAAGCTTTCCTTTTTATAATCTATGCAATTTTTTATAGTATGGACAAGATTCCAATATTAATGTGCTCGTCGAAATAGAGCCGCTCATGTACGAATTGCGCAACTTAACCTATTTGCCTTGGGTCAACGTGTCGACTAGCTACAAAACGCTGCTCGATCGCTCAACTCTCAACAATCCGAATAGTGAGGCGAAGCAAATATATGGCAGCGTAAAATATAGTTTTGTCGAGAAGGTCCACGTTAATGTGAGCACTATATACAATAAAAATTTGGATCATTTGCCGTTATTGTTTGAGCATGCGGGCGCTGTATTGGAATTGAATGATTTGGGTATTGGCGGGGTGGATGTAACGGCGGTAAACGAATTCATACTGTATGCTAATAGGTATATACTTACTGAGCTCTACTTTCATTCAATAGAAAGCTTATTTCGAACGTTTCATGGACCCACGTACTTCGGTCAAGGTGGAAGTGATCGGTCAGTGGGCCGAGCACCATCAACAATTTAATGCTGATGTCTTCGACTACTTTGGTTATGGCATAAAACGCTACCGTAATGAAATCCATCGTGGTGAGGTTACGTTTACACGCATTGAGAGCGCCGAACCAGTTTATGAAACACCCGATTCCACACATCTTACGTCTATTACACTATACCCGGCGGAAGAAAAAAAATTCGAACGTTTGGAAATGGCTGACACCGAAAATATAACACAAACATCCAATTGGGATATTAACACCTACTACGATTCTCATCCTTATCCGGGTTTCTATCCGTGGTTTGTAGCTGGTAGCATTGCAGTAGCAGTGGTACTGTTGGTGGTGGTATTCAACATGGTGCGCATATGGAGCAAGAAGGAGGAGAAGAAACTTTATAAGTTGGCCGCTTCATCGGCATAAGTTTTGAAGAGAATCATGTGGAAATGGTATGAAAAAATGAGATAATTAATTAAATGCATGGAGGGCAACCACATTTTTTTTGTTATTATAATAGTATTATCGAAGATATTAATATTTGTTAAACATATACAACATATATGTACATGTCTGTACGCAGCATGCGAAAGGTCTGTGACAATACATTTCAATAAATGTAACATACTTATTTGCTGTATTTAGCTATATTTAACGTAATCCATTTTGTATAAACACAAACGAGAGCTAACATATGCCGCTTTAGTATTTGAGCTGTATTTCGTTTCACTAAATTGTTAATGTGTTAATTGTAGAAACAAAAAAAAATTATTATGAATATTTTGAAATAAATAATTTTACATTCCAACTAGCTAAATCTCATTTTATTTACTGTATAATCTACTTAATCGTATTTTGTAATTGGAATTTGAACATGATTTTTATTACTTTGTTCCACTGTATCAATCTAACGATGTCACTCTTATAAATCTGGCAGCATTAATTATTCGCGTAACAACAAGAAGCACTACCAAAAATCCTTCCGCTCTTAACACTTTTAAACATGTTAAAAAATTCTTCCTTCTATCTCACTCACGCATATTAGCGCATAGTCTGTCGATTTGCAAATGCAAGTCCTGTTGCTCAATTTCTATCATACAAAAGATGAAAGGAAAACATACTCAAATTCCGCTACTACTGTTGTTGCGGCAAAATATAACTAGAATCAACAACACCACGAACGATCCATTCCAATACAACCCCTGTGTATGTTTCTATTATTTTTCTGTTGCACTGCTCTATTCGTTTACAATTTTAGTTTCGTGTCGGATTCCTTCAGCTTTCGATGTGACATTTATGTTCTCTCTCGGTTCGCTTGTGAAAAAAACATAAAATACAAAATATTTGCGAAATTCACATAACATAAATCTCCAAAACCATCTCGTAAACAAAAAGTTAGACAAGAAAAAGTTCAACTTCAAACACTGTTGTTAGTATATTAAAAAGTTCTTTCTACAATAGTCCAAGCAACAAATAATAATTCTCAATTTAGTCGCGAAGTTGGCTAGTTGGAAAAGTTTAATTGCTCATATTAAAGGGGGTTAGAATAACAGGGTGGTATGCGATTTATTGTATTACTACTATCAAAAATCAATTCACATAAAATTGCAAGTGTTTTTCGTAAGTGTGAGTGAATGGAAAAGCTTTGATAAATAAAAAAGAGTGCACGATATTAAATCGTATGGCAAGCGCCGCACAAAATTTATCTGTGAATTCTCTCTCTCTAACACATTTGCACCCAAATATGGAGCGCGAGTTGTAAAGTGGTTGGTAGTTTTTGGTTTTGGCGTTGTCGCCTGGTAAGTGAAATCTTAATATTGTTTATAAACAATTTTTAATCGCTGATGCATTAAAATATTACTACCTTAAATATTTTTATACATACAAAAACTTTTACAGTTTCTCGATTTTTAACTGAATCTGAAGCTATAAAACCGCGAGTAAGTAAATGCAGTCGCTTAATATATTGATAATAAGTACTGCTTTATGAAGGTAATATTATCTTGAAGTTTAATATTTGAATTTCTCGTATTCTAAAGTGGTAAAAAGGTTATAAGCTGAATCTTTCGAGTTATATTGTATTAATTAATGGTTCTACGTATGTATACCGATTGAACAATGTTTTTGTTTATACAACACAGGTTTAATATTATATATTATATTAACAAAACGCATTTGAAATATAATCTGGCAACATTATCTTAATGATATCAACAAAACATCTGATTGCAGTCCCCCATAAGTATAAAATAAGCATTCAGTAACATCTCTGTTGCACGCATGAATTTAATGTTCTTTATTTCCATCTTTGTTCAGCAAAAGAGCAGATGGCTTGCAAGAAAAGCAAAAACTAGTTTCACTACAACCACTTGAACAACCGACTACAGCAACGACAATCGAATCGTCTTTCTTGCACGAAGCATACTAACGAACGAAACGAAACGAATTCAGCGCACCGCATAGAAAATGCAAACGACAGCCATTGTGATTCACCGACGACAGAAGAAGACAAAAGGACGTATACTGCTTAAGCGCTCTTATTAAAAAAGAAATTTCAGATATATTGCAATAAAATTTCACATTAGAAAATCTAGTTATTTCGTTTCCTTACTGTTTAGTGTTTTTATAACGGTTTATATTGCTATAATTGTATCGTGGGTGCAGTTATTATGGAAATATGGACTTAATTGGTAAAAGTTCGCAGATATATCGACTGTAGACATAAGTTGTCAAGCGCAAAATTAATCTGGATAAGGTGACGTGAATCGTGATATCTTTGGTGAATTGAAAAGGAAAAAATTGATATTTGGAATATTTCCTAATAAGTAAAGAGTGCAGCAGGTAAGTTAGGTGCTACAGCGCTTTGCAATTTTACAATGTGAAAGTGCAAATAAAAGGTACTGGTAAATTGATAGATGCATCATTAAAGAGCACAAACAATTCTCCCTATCGCTTAATTTTGTTAGTGCTGTCAAAATTAGTGCAATGCAATAATGTAAAATCAACTAAATTGGTTGTTTTTTTTGTGTTCAGTAGACGTTCCATATTCCTTTTCACTCACTCGTGCCACTATGTGTCAAGACTAAAAATAACACCATCTCATTTTTGCATGTTTGTAGCGAATATTAAAAATGTCGCGTAGCTAGTGTTCCCACCAATTATTATTTTTTTGTTACGATATTGTAGTGCTGACTCGTTCGGCGCTCAAATTAGTTAATTTTTTTTTTAAATGTTATTTATGTATTTTGTATATTAACTGAAGACTAGTTGAGGCAATCAAAGAGAAATGTTTATTATGTTATTTATTTATTTTTTTATGTAAGCTAAAGCCTAGTTGAGACACCAAAGAGAAAAGTTTTATTTTCTTTTATTTTTTTTTATAATTTTTTTTTTATTTTTTATAATGTTTTTTTTTTTATTTTTTATAATGTTTTTTATTTTTTATAATGTTTTTTTAAATTTTTTTTTATTTTTTTTTTTATATTTTTTTTATATTTTTTTAAAATTTTTTTTTTATTTTTTATAATGTTTTTTTTAATTCTTTTATTTTATTTTTTAAATTTTATTTTGTATATTGACTAAAGACTAGTTGAGGCAATCAAAGAGAAATGTTTTTTATGTTATCTATTTATTTTGTAGCAGTTAATCCTAAAGGGTGGCATACATATATGTACAAACATTTTAAATCTTTCGTCTTCAAAACCAATGTCGACCAAAAAAGTGACTAATTAAAAACTATAAGTTAAAGAAGTTAAAACTTAATGATTTATAAATATTAGATAAAGGGTTTCTATATTCTACGTAATTATTATCATTTGTTTTACAGATTTGTTTCAATGGAACACTGCCAACTTAAAAAATTTTAAATCGCGATACAGATTGGTTTTCTCTAGTAAATATTAAACTAATTTACAGATATACATACAAAGATGTATTTGTATGTATGAAAACAATAATTTTCGTAATTTTCTCTTTCAAATTAATGCATTCAATCTATCAATTTACTCTAAACTTAAAATGTTAGCGACCTTATTTAGAATTGCATCTTCGAACTGAAATATCTTCAGTCAAATATTTATACAACATTATTAATTTTAGGTGCTGCGCCAGATTTCATAATTTTGATACACATCTGAAAGTTGGAGACCTGAAGAAAAATGGAACGAAAAAAAGTTCTTGAGCTGGATAAGATTTGTCGAGTATGCATAGCAGAACGTAAAGATATGCGTCCACTATTTAGTGAAAAGATCGCAGAGATGCTAATGGAGTGTGCTACTGTAAATATTGAAAATACTGAAGGTTGGCCCGATAAAATTTGCGTGCAATGCGTACACGCTGTGTCGCGGTGTCATGCCTTCAAGAAGCAGGTTGAACGCAGCGACAAGGAATTAAGGGAATATATTAAAAGTTTAACTGTACGTGTGGTCATAGAAGAAACCAATGATATGAAGCTGGACGCGTCTCCCCCAAAAATGTTGTCGCAGAAGCCACCTAAATTGCAACTAATACAGCCGCAGGCGCAATTTCAATTACAGACGCAGCAAAATCAATTACAATTGCAACAACAGCAAATAATTCTACAGCCGCAACAGCAACAGCAGCAACAACCACAGCAACAGCAACAGCATCAGCCTCAAAATCAACAACTGCAACAAGTACAGCATTTACAATTGCAGCAACAACAAGAGCCAAGCAAACGTAAGGCCGTTAGTACATCACGTAAATCTCAACGGCAGTCGAAAAAATCACATTTGTTGCCTCAGCAGGTACAGCAACAACAGCACCAACAACAACAAACACTTGATCATGTGTCGTTGCAAACAATGGTACAGAATATAACACCACCGCGCACACAAGCACAACCTGCAACTCAACATTTGCAAACTACACAATCGTCCTTGCAGCAACAACAGCCACAACCCCAGCAACTAATTTCCACAACCGCCTTGCCACAACAAATTGTACTACCCAATGGGCAAATAATTACCACAGCGCAAATTGTCACACACGCCGGACCTCCACAGATTGCGCAGATTATTAGTACGTCGAATGGCTCAACGGTACAAGCAAACCCTGCCTCTAACGCCGTAGCAGCGCAACCACAATTCACGCCACAGATTATACAAACATCTAACGGACAGACGCTACAGCTAATACAGCAGCCGAATGGGCAGCAAACGCTGCAGTTAGTACACGTAATGCCGCAGCGTACAATTGCCACCACAGCAAATGGGACAAGCGTGATGGTAACCACTTCCGAAGATGGCACCACGACGATAGTTGATGATGAAACATTGATCACACCTGATGAGCATCACCTGATCGATGATGAAGCTGATCTGGAAGATGATGATGAACAAGAACAAATCTGTGAAACAATTGTGGTGGAAGATGATCAGATCACGCATCAGCAGTTGCTTGCTGGCCACCATACAATAGTAGATGAAGATAATTTATCGCAAGGCGAGGCACAAGAACTGGAGTACCTTGAGGATGTAACTGTAACGACCTCGAATGTAGGACATTCACATCATCAGCAACATCATCATACTCAGCACTATCAACAGCTTAGCGATTGTGATGGTGATGCAAGTCAACAGCAACATATACAACTGCATGACGATGATGATATAATCGAAGAGATACACATGGATGAAGAGGAAATGCTGGAAGATGATGGTGCAGATGTGATGCATGTGATGGAAGGAGATGGTAGCGAATTTATTAGTGATGAAGATGGAAGCCAGCAACATTTGGTGGGCGAGAACGGGGATCCGCTGCAGTACACTGTACTAGAAGCAGGCACCGACGATGAAGAGCTCGTTGAAAGCGACGTAAAAGAAGTTCTTCAAGCTGCTTGCGGATCGGAAATGCAGAACGTGGTCGATTTTAATCAAACAGTCAGCAGTGTAGCAAGTGGTGGTGGTGGCGGGGGCGTTGGATCAGGTAGTGGCGCATCTGTAGGCAGTCAAACTCCGACACCCAAGCGTCAACGTAAATCGAATTCAAAAGCTGTAGCCAATTCACGTCAACTAGTTGCCACCGCATCCTCAATAGCAACATCAGGGACCTCGGACGATTTGGATATCGATCCAAAATTCATTGCCGAAATTATAAGTCAGCAAACGAGTTTGCTCGGCTCCGGTCGCCATGTATGCAATCTATGCCGCCATGAGTTTAAACAATTTAAAGCATTGCATAATCATATGCACCAACATTCGAATTGGATACGTGCCAATTGCAAAAAACAACCGCAGTGTGAAATCTGCCTTAAGAGCTTTAAAGGTCCAGGCATGCTAAAGATGCACATGAAGACACATCAATCCGCTGCGCGCACACCTACCTGCAATATCTGTAACAAGAGCTTCAAATCAAAAGCGATACTGTATCGTCATCGGCAAACGCATCAACTGCGCTCCTATGCTTGCGCCGTGGATAATTGCCGTAAAACATTCTCGATGCCACAAACGTTGCGTACGCACTCGGACAACAAACACCCCAACTCAAAGCAGCCGAGATTCAAATGTGGCGAATGTAGTTTACATTTTGACGATGTCGACATGCTGCATACGCATGTGCAGACGGGTGTGCATAGTGATACGATAACAATGGAAAATGGTGACGGTGGCGGAGACAATAATGGTGCCGGTGGCTCGGGTGGTGGCAGTATAGATGGCTCGGGTTGTATGGATGGCAATATGACGGGTAACACTATAATTGTTGTTACGCAGGGTTAGTTACACAGTTGCTAGGCAAGCTGCGTTCATTCTCCGTTCAGTCGTTCTCTCTTAGCGCCAGTTTTGTAAATTTGATTGGTTTCCTCGATGAAAAAGAATGCTTTCCCAATGTGCTAGATTTAATGTTTAATTTGTTCAAAACAAAATAAACAAACAATTCAACATTAGAATTAATTAAAATATAGGGTTATTTTTAATAGCAATTATTACATTTAAAAAATACATAGATATGTATTAAACAAACCAACAAACATACATATGAATGAAGAAAGAAATTATTTTTAAAATATACAAAATTTACAAACTAATTCGTAATTATTGAAATGACAAAGCAAAAAAATAAAAACTATTATAATATTTGGTAATAAATAAATCAACGAATATTAAAATGTATTCAAACTTGCTTGCCTTTGACTTGTATGACAATTTTTTATGCTATCATTAATTAAATTAATTATTCTTTTTGTCGTGGAACATTCACAAATGTTTTTTTAACAAATGCTGCTTAGCCAGATAATCATTCGGGTCCGTACGTGAGTTTTAATTTACTAAGCACTGTAGCATAGAAGGTGAACAGCTCATTTTATTGCTGTTCATAAAACTTTGACAGAATCTATTTTCATATTTATACCAAAAAAATGTCTAGCAACTTCAATCTGAGTTCTAGAAAGGGTTCAGTTTATTCGGTTTGTGCTCAAAAAGTGTTTGTAGTGTCACGTTGTTCATGTTGTTGTAGTGGCTGATACGATATCTCAAATGATTTCGAGCAGCACCGACAACTTAGCAGTGCGGGGATTGGCAGTTCCCTAATAAATAGAAGTGGTTTCACAACAGTTACCAGTCAGCAGAGTTTAAGTTTGACCTTTTGATGACAGTCAAGAATCAGCTCATCTCTCATGAATTGTAACCATTCTTGAAATCGCTTGTCAGTTGTCGAACTTCTTTTTTGTGATGGTCTTAATGATTTTTGCATTCGAACATTTCTGTATCCTGTTTATTGTGAGAATATGTTGTTGTTGTAGCGGCCGAAAACATTCCTGAAATAATTTTGAAGAATACTACCGAGTTGACAGTTCTTGGCCGGATAAAAATCCGTATCCGTTCCGTTTACGTAGACCCGGCCGTCGTGGTAACGAATCATTTGAATGTCGGCTCTTTTGCTGTTCTCATGATTATTTTTATACCCTGAACAGGGTATATTAAATTTTATAAATAATAAAACTTTGCCAAAAACCACACCACAGACGTCCATCCCAGTGAATGTTAAGCATTAAAAATGGTTTATCCAGATTTCCATCACAACTACGAATCTTATAGAAAAAAGTTGTATGGCAATGTTGTAGGTAATGAAAAGATGTATTTATGTATTTTCTGAGAAAATTTACCATATGGTAGCTATGTATTCATATACAATAATTTATATACCACCATAAAGTAGAGACTTTAACAAATATAAACACTACTGACTTTTTAAAAAATCTGATATTTTGATTTGAGAATTTTTGATTGAAAATTAGGGGTTTTTATTCGGTATTAGTTAAAAATAGAGGAGAAAAAATAAATATTTTAAATAAAAAAATAAGCTTATTTTTTGTACAAGATAAAAATAAGCTTATTTTTTGTACAAGATAAAAATAAGCTTATTTTTTGTACAAGATAAAAATAAAAAACCCAAAAACCTGATTATTTGAATTTTTCACATAAATTTTAAGGTTATGCGAAAAAAGTTTATAAACAAAAGTTATAGATTCTTTCATTACCTATAATATGCCGTATATCGGTTTTCTATAGGACTCGTAGTTTTGCCAGAAATCGAGATAAACCGTTTTCTAACCCTCAAAAATTCAACCACATCCCTTCTCTGCCTTTTCTGACCTCAGATCGCCCGTAAATTATTTTTCCTATAATATTTGTCATTTTATCTTTCGTTTCGGATGGGTTTCAACTTACTAAAAATTTCTTTCTTTTGTAATTCTGTTTTTGTTTTTGTATTTTTCTTTTAACAAGATATGGATAGATAGTGTATAAACGCTCCAAACAAAAAATACTAAAAAAACCAGTAAAATTTTTATATATTTTTGTTTTATTGCTTTATTTAGTATTTTATTTACATAGTGCAGAACTTGTTTTTTTTTGTTTTGTATATATGGTTTTTATTTAAATTGCTAACGCCAACAAAACGTGTTTTAGAAGTCAGTTTTAATTTTTTTTTATAAAGAAATCATTTTTATTATTAATAGCTTATAAGCTGATCAGTTATGGGGAATATATTTATATATACACACATATATAAATCCTCTTTGAAATGCTTCTATAAAATTAATTAATTTCTCTCCAGCGTGATTTTAAAAATTCTGAAAGCTTCGAGTTGGGAAGCACTGAAGTTCGACGCAAAAAAATGTTTTTATTTTTCTTTTACTATTTATTACCTGTTTCTTAATCTACTTTGTAACAAAAGAGCTCGCAATTTTCATAGTTGCATTTATGTTTTTTGCTGATTAGACCGCAAAGTTCAGTTGTCAAAGCGCTAAAGTTTTTAGGATTTATCTAGGCCAGTGATGTAATCAATTTAAAATATCTATTCATTCTATACAAGGGTTGTTAAAATAAAAACCTATTTCGCCCACTCTATATGTGAACGCAAGGATAATTTGAAAGCCACAAAGAGTCTTTTATGAGCTGCATGGCCAACAGTTTGCTATTCATTTCACTGAATTATCATAAAAGAAAGTAAATATTGCATTTTATTTTTATTAACTGCAAGTGGCAAAACGAAATGAAGTGATAACCAAATTTTAAACGTGTAAATATGTATATAATTACGAAATATATTCTCTTGCTACCCTATTATATTTTCGAGGGCCTTCCGTTAATTTACACTTAATGTTTTTCGCATGAGGTCCTATTTTTATATTGAGGACTAAATAATCAGGTTGGATCTATAAGGTGCGTGTAAGACAATAAGACGGCTAAGCTAAGCATCAAAATTTTGCCAACGGCAGCATTCCCGAAGCTGATCTGGTGGAATGATACTAATTAGTCAAATAACTCGCTGCTAACGCTTTCCGCAACCATCAAATTTTACCGTGTTGCCGTTGTAATTACTTGAAAATGTTCAATTACTTATAAAAATTCTCATGAGGTAACGGCGGTGTTCTGAAAGCTCACCAACTAGCTCATTTCAAAATCTTCGGACTTTCAAATAAAAAAAGGCAAACGTTTTTTAAGAGCTAAGGCGGCTAAAGGAACAAAGAACCTGAGATGTGACTGACATATATACAAAACTCCAAATTTTATTAATGCATTTTTAAAATTAGCAAATACCATTCACGCGTTCGGCTCGTGGAAAGAACTCAATTTCTTTTCGTTTCTAGGTGTGAGTGAATATTTTCCGTGATGTTTCATTTGGAAGTCAGCATTCAATAAATTTCGGTCTCGCACAAGAAAGCACCGGTTAAATGTTGACATACATAAGTACATACGTATGTACATACTTACAAATATTCAACTCGAAGTAGGTGTGTGAATTCGTGCATATTTTTGTAAAAATATTCATTAAACAAATTTTTCCACGCCCTCTTAATTGCACAGGGAGAGATTTGACAAGCAAACAAAAGAAAGGAAGAATTTCGATAAGACGCGTGGAAGTGCTTCATTCATTACCATTACCACATTATTCCATTATTTTTCATTTGTTATTTTAATATTGAAAACTGAAGAGCTGGGTATTTTCCAGCTGGTTATTTCCCAGCTGGTTATTTTTTCAGATTTGTTGCGATGACTAACATTTTTAACCGTTATCTGCACTCTTATTCAAAATTATTCATAATAGTCCCTTAACTTTATTTTTCATTTTTGAGATTTTTTTTTTAGCTTTATTTGCAGATGATGTTCTTTTGACGGTGATTGTGACTGTAAGATTAAAGTTGCTATTTGACTTCGATTCCAGTTTCGATCAACATTAAATTTTTTTTTACTAGTGCTCCTATCTTATCGTTTTTTCTCTTCTATTAAGGGTGTCATCCCATGTGATGGGCTCAACAAATTTATTTATTATTGATTTCATAAATCGCTATCCTAACATGTCTAGAATACGGTAGTAAAGTGATTTTTAAAAACTCGAAGAAAAATCGTTTAAAGATAGAGCAGTTAGAAGAAGGAGCTGTTCAGAGCGGTTCTAAGCGGACTTGAGACTTTAAACGCATTTTTCTCCAAACAGTGTTTTTCAAACTTTCCTCCATTGCATCTCAAAAACGGCTTGACCGAATGACTTGAAGTTTGTAGGATACACACAAAACTTGTAAACGCATGGAAAGAAATATTATCAATGAAAAATTCCCAAAATTTCGATTTTTTTTATAGCAAAAAACAAAACAGAGAAACGCAAAGTTCGCAACTGTTTCAAATATCTAACAAAAGTCCAATTTTTGATATAATCATTTGATAATAGCTCATTTGGGCATTTTAGGCTTACAGATTAAAACTCCTTTAATTTTATCGGATAAGCCAATCAGCCGGCGGGGTGTTCAAAACACTAACCCATTTTCTACACAATATTTTTAGCTTAAAATGCAATATTATACTCTCGAAATATATGTTAAGAAATGATAATAAACCAAAAGCTCTACATATTTACAGGTCGTAGAAAAAAATTTCTGAAAAATCCATAAAAAAACATGCCGTCACATGGGATGACCTCTTAGCCTATCAAAGTGCAATCAATTAAAATAGTACTCAAGATCTGGCTAAACTATGGTACGTACCTTTTACCGAACTTAAATTATCAAGAAAGACGTACAGGCTAAAATATTTAATGACAAGTGTGATCATAACTTGATATAATCCATCTTATTTATTACTTTACAGATTTAGTAAAACTAATTATTTTTTAATTTTAAAATTTTTGCTGGAGTATCAAGCGTACATAAATTTTTATTCCTTCGCTCGAATCGAAAAATAACAATAAAGAGAAAACTATAAATAATCGTTTATTTTTATAAGCAATGTATCGAAGCTTTTGAAAGAAAAGTGAAACTCATTAAAAGAGGTTGAGTAAGGTTCTAATGGAAGAGCAGCAACTGTTCTCCAAAGAAAATATAACAGTTGGACACATTCAGTGGCTTTGTGATACTACGATTCTTGAAACGAAAATTTTGTTGTAGCCGAAACGTCTTGAACCC